AAAAGATGCCAGGCAGCTCCCCAGCCTGAGGGTTAGGGAAGCTCTTCTCACGAACCCTGGAAGATATCCCATTAGGTTTCCCCAGTAGGAAGATAAAGAGTAGCAGATGGGATCCTGCGATTGTCAGGAGGTTATTTGGAAATGGAAGGCCATGAGGTTGATGGTGTTCACTGTTACTCAGTTAACCTTTCCTTCCTTTCACTTTTCCTTTAATGAAGTCTTTAATTTTACATGCTGGGTCCCCTACCAATGTTATTTATATCTGGCTTGTCCTTTTTATTTATTTCATTTTAAATTTCTCTCTTAAAAAAATTCTTGCTTATTTTTCCAAGCCCCTATTTTAGAAAGATACTTTTGCAATTTTTTTCTACTAGAAGATTTGTAGCTGTACCCCAAGCAGGACAAGATCCAAGCATGAAAAATGCTGTATTACTAAAAATGTTGTTTATATGGGCAGAACAAAGAATCAATGTGCTTTTAAAGAAGGAAGTATAAAGAATGGCCAAATCTGGAAATTTACTGCTATATAAAAATCTTACTGCTCTGGTAGTTCTCTAAATTTGGGATGGTTCTATCTTATATTAGCACATGAAATCCATACTTTTAGTAAATATCCAAGGCTTCGTGGAAAAATAAGAATATGATGAAGTTTCAAATTGGAATTTGATATTATAAACATATCTCATGTTTCTGTGTAGTCAGATAAAACATAACTAGTACATCTATTTAAAAATTTCATTAAAAATTCTAGAGTATGCTTTGTTTACTCTCAAAGCTATTGATACTATAGAGCAAGCATATTCTGAAAATTTTGCTCAACTAAATATTCTTTAAATTTGAAATCTTTTCATTTCTATTATTGTTTTAAAAGAGGCTACCTTCTAAAAGTCCATGAACATATCAAATCATGATCCTGTGACAGGCACTTTCTACTCTAGACTTGGGTTTTCAGTGCCAACATCATTAAGAGATTCTTCAAATTACTTTTTAAATGCCCTTTTCCCTCAGGATTTTCACTTATATCTAATTAGACTACTTACTCCATGCCATGTAATCCCTGTTGCCAAAACTGCTAAATGCTTCAATAAGTAGGAAGAGGGCATCAATGGAGCAAGACAGATGTAATGTCACTGGTTAACAATAGAAGTGTGAAGCAGCTGCCTTAATTACGGAGCTTATTAATTCATGGTGTTAAAAAAAACTTGGCAAGAGTTTTTATAAAATAGCTAACCTTTCCAAATAGCATCATATTGTTTAAAACTTAAAATATACGTTTCAATAAGGAATACTGAAATAATTATTTTGCCTGTAATTAACATCTGCATTTAGTACCTATAATTCTCAGTTACAAAGGCACACATAATTTTAAAAGTAACTTTTAAAAAGCATATACCCTTACATTTCATTGTTAAAATTTTTTTTATAGCTGGGAATAAATTATAAGATAAAGGCAAAATATACTTAGGAGAAGAGGAATCTAAGGAATAGGGAAAGGAATTCTAAAGATCTAGTTTCTACAAAAACTAGAAAAATTTAACTTCAGTAAACATCAGCTTTGTTTTCTGTATAATCATATACCATGAAGGGTGGTTTGATGATTATAAATAATGTTTAAAAGTTCCTAACTTGCATGAGTTGCTCAATAAAGGGTGGTTATTATTATTTTCATGGATGTATAGGAAAGGCAAGATTTAAATAAATAGAATAAAATTAGTGAATAATGTGGTCAATAGATACCTTGGCTTTATACTTAGAATAGAGCATTTTATGTCTGTTTAAAATAATGATATCTAAAAATGTAAGTCAGAAACAGTTTAACTGCTTAGGGTTAAAATGAATATGTGAAAACACAAGTCTCAAGAGGTGTTACTAGAGAAAGAAAAATTAGTGGAAGTATATTTTCTTTTATAGTGTTGACTGAAATAAAGGTTTGTTTGTAATGGAATAGGAATTAGAACTTAAAAGTTCAACAGATTGCCAAATTAAAAAAAAAATTAAAAACCCCACAATGTTCTGAAGTGTACAAAAATTCCTTAAGTATCTAGTGGGCCAAGAGAAAAAAAAACCATGCAAATGCCACATAGACCCAGTCCTAATCCCTCTTTCCCTGGTCTATAAAGGAATAATCATTATCTATCACACCAACATGACAGTCACAATTCCCTTTACTCTTTGAGTTCCTTAGTGAGTTTATTAATAATAAGTTAATTCTAGCTGTTTGTGACTCTATATACTATTGTACTCAATTATTTCCATCAATTGAAGTAATAAATTCTCTGAGTTTACTACTTGCAAAATTAGATGGAACTTCCTGCTAACTGGAAAAGTTTTTGTGTTTATCTTGACTTATACAGGTATATAATGCCTGTATAAATTTTATAAAATTATAAAATTCACAATTGTGAATTTTAATTAAAATTGATTTTAATTAAAATTGATATGATGCAAGTATCACTTTGAGCCCATTCAGATTTTCTCCATGATTTTCTTTTGATTTGGGGGCCAACAAAAATGTATATAGCAATGTATGTAGAAAATGTATATAGAAATACAAACCTCATGCATAGGGAAAGTCAACATGAAAGAGAGGATATTATGCACTGTTTTGTGTTTAGATATTCCTCTTGATGAGGGGCATCTGTCTGTCGCCATTCTTAGAGCATCACACTGAGCTGGTACTAAGCCAACACCTGAGTCTTTCATAGTTTACACACACACACACACACACACACACACACACACTCACACAGAGTCTGTCAGTAATGTACACTAGTCTATCTCCTGCTCCTAGAAAGAGCCTCAACCTCAACCTTGTGGGCATGAAATATTTTTTTGAATGAGTCAATATAAGGTCTGTGGGTAGAAATGCAACCAATGGATTTTAATGTGGACAAATGCAAAGTAACATATTAAGGATAAATCATTTGAGTTATGCATACTTCATTATATGTTTAAGATATTAAGACAATTTTATTTAGTTTAGCTCCTTACTATTGGGCAGTGTTGTTTCATTTCTCTCTCTTTCTCTGTGTGTATGTGTGTGTGTGTGTGTATGACATGAAAGACAGCACAGCACGGGTTAAGAACCATACTCAGGTGCTAGACTACAAGCTATTCACTTAATGTACAAGTTGGACAATATGGTTAATTTATAAAATTCAGATAATGAAGGAAGGTTCTCAATATCAAATGGGGATTTGCTGTCAGGATTAAATGAGTTTATTAATGCAAAGTTCTAGAATAGGCCCTGGCACAAGAATAGTGCTCACCTATCTCACCTATGTTCTTAGGTTTGACAAATATTTTTTTTTTTAATTTTTTTTTTATAGAGGCATGTTTTTATTTATTTATTTATTTGTTTGTTTTGTTTATACATGCACTGGGTACAGTCAGAAGCACGGGAGGGTGAGAGAACCCACCAGAGCCAGAGCGGGGAGCAGAGCAGGCAAAAGGACCGAAGTACACCGCTGAGGGGAGCAGTGGGCGGCAGGAGAAGTCCGTGCGCCATGCAGGACCCTCCTCAGGTGGCCGGGGAGCAGCCGGGGATCGAACCGGCGCCGCAGAGGCCGCGGGCAGCCTCGCAACCGAGCGCTCAACCGCTGCGCCACCGGGGAGGCCCCTGACAAATATTTTTAAATATCAGCTTAGGTAAATATATCAAGATAAATATGAAAAAATTATATTCTTAAGACTAACAATACTTAAGAATTATATTCTTAAGTCTAACAAGATACTTGTCCAAATTTATTAACCATTATTCTAGGGTCATTCCCTGAGATAAATAATGTTTCTATGAATCTGACTAGGAAATAATAAAAACTTAATTCTTAGGTATCTGAAAAAGTTCTTATATTTTTTATGCTCTTACCTCAGACATGAATTTTCAATTTTATAAAAAAAATATTTCAGGCAGTTGCCTTATAAACCTTAATCCTCTATTCTTTTCTACATTCCAAATAATACAAAATTTATTAATCTAGGATCCGGCCACCTATACATAATTAATTCATTAACAAATATTTTTTGATTCACTAAACTACACTTTGCACTATGTTACATACAAAACCTACATACTAGTTTCTCAAGGGAAAAAGTTTAAGAATGGGAAAACTGTGAATTGTATATTGAAGATTATACTACCTCTGAATCAATGAATTTATAAGAGGACTTTCAGGCATTATAGTCTAGTCATTCTCAACTGTTTTTAAAAGTACCAACATACCTGAGGTAAGATAACATATAGCATTTACTTAGAGTAAGCCCTGACTAATGTGCCAATGAAGTTCTGTGGTAAATTATACATAAATGCAACAAGGTAAGAACAAAGGAAGCATATATAGTATGTAGAGCAAAAGTGCATATATAACGTGCAGAGAAGATAGTGAAGATATTCTTTATAGTGATTTTAACTTTGATATTAAATTTAGTTCTTAGCTCCTTAGCAAAAATGAACACAGTATCATTTTTTTTTACCATGTGGTAAATCTGGTTGTGTTTTTTTTCTTTTTTGGAAAGAGAGGGACAGTTAGGTTTTTTTTGCCATTAGTCCTAATAGAACTCATTCATGTGGATCTTATATAAAGAAACTTCACTAGCCTCATAGATTCCATAAGAATGACACAAAAGAAGTAGTAAGAAAAGATTTCCATTACAATTCAGAGAGACTTGATATTGAAGGACAGGGTGATCGCTTAGCTGCCAGGAGAGCCCAGTTCACACTTATTTTCCTGGCTTAAATATTTTTAGTGCCCCATTGCATTCTCAGAAGAATCCAAGTTTGGATGACGACTTATGTGGTCACCTTATCTATGGGGAACAAAATCCAGACATGTGTTTATTTGTAGTGATCTTGTTTGAGAGGGCAGGACTTCATAAACAGTTTCTGCCAAATTTCAAAAGGAACTGGATGACAGCAATTTAAGTACCAAATTAAAAGAGAAGGTACAAAATATATAAAATGTAATTTCTATGTTCAAAACAATTAATAACATGGCACTTACACTCAGAATTGAAAGCAATTCTTCAGTACTGCATTCAGGTTTCAAACGCTCCTTGAACATTTTAACTGTTTGGTGCTTCAGGTAGTAATAAGAGGCAATTCGGCCATATGTCAGAGGTTCAATACTCCGATTATCCTATGTCGAAATAAAGATAAAATGTCAAGTAAAAGTATACTCATACAATTAATAAGTTATATTACAGATTGTAAAAAATTCATTAATTTTTTTGGTTAACACCAGAATACAAAGCCCTGTTGTTAAAAGTCAGATAATCTTTACAGTTGGAATGTATATGACTGAGTCGTACCTCTCCGATTTCAATACAGTAGGAATATTCCAGTTCAACCAGGGACTTTTCGACCAGATGGGACAGAAACTTGTTCACAGAATCATGGCTCACATCACTCAAATTGTAGTAGCTAGGAAGCAAGCAAAGTCATTATTGGTTTCCAGACATTTTTGATTAATACTTTCACTTCAATTTCACATCATTCCTTTCAGAATTTCAAAGCATAATTACATTTACAGGAAATCATAGAAACAAAGCAACTGCAATCACCATTCCCATTTTACAGCTGAGAAGTCTCATACTAAGGTTTGATGACTTATGACTAATGACAATACATAAAAAAATATGTAAGATAAGCAGAAAAAATTCAGCATAATGTAAAAAAGATACTAACTTCCCAGTGTTAAGACTGGTATTACTTCAGATTACTCATCTATAGCAAATTAAAATTATGTACTAGATTTAGAAAGGTTAAGAAGTATATAATTATATATATGTGTATATATTATATATAATATGAAGGAATAAGATACCCTTTTATATTTTATATACAAAAATCCATTCTCAGTAATTTTACAAAACTCATAAACTATTAATTTAGATAGGTAGGTGAGTTCTTTTAGGAAAGTTAATCATTATTCTTCTAGTATTAAGAAATAATGTCATCCTGAAGACTAGAAGGGACATCATCACACTAACAATCAAATATTCACCAAGCTTCAATATATATAAAACACATAGGTTCAGTTCTGGATATTTTCTAAGTGAAAAGTCTGAGGACATGTAATTCACCTGAATCATTTATCTCTCTATCTCCAAGAGGTTCTTAGCAAACAAATCCCTAGTATCACTAGCAAACTACTTGGGGATAGATCTAAAAGGTGAGGGTCTGTTCCATTCATGGCAGTTCTTAATTCCTACTAGGTAAACCCTATAACCTCATCAGCATGGAGAACTTAGATGCTCTACTTCTTCCTTGTCCAAATCAAAGGGCAGGACTAAGAGCAACATCAGTGCACAGGTTCTGTCATTGAAACCCTTCTACAAGAGTATTACATCTGAGCAGGACAATCTCGGGGGTATTCAAAACTTGGAGTAAAGTGCTAATGTCAAATGAAAGGCCTAGCGAAAAGGCACAAAACCTTTTTTTCCTTTCTTCAAAGGGATGGATTTGGAGTTAATATACTACAAAATTTATTTAAAGATTAATAACAGGTTATTTGGAAAAAAACCCCTGTAAATTATAAATATATGCTGAGGATTTTAAGTTTCATTAACAAGAAAGTTACTTTAAATTTTTAGTCAATAGAGAAATTATTAGTGCCTTTCCTGGGAAGGTTCTTGTCATTCATAGACCAAAACAAACAGGTATTTTCAGTGAACAGGGAAGCAATGAAACCAGTCCTATTGTCCATTTTGAACAAAAAAATACAAACCTATCTAGACAGACATATATGAACCTGCATTAGAAACCATTAGAAAGTATTTCCTTTATCTTCAAAATTACTAAGAAAGAGTATTTAGCTAGAATAATGTAGCCTGCTTTAGAGGTGAAATAAAAATTCTGGACACTCAAAACCCACAAAAGGTATCCCAAATCATTCCAAATTATTAATATTTTCTGTTGTTGGGCCTCTTCTGATGCTGAAGGGACGAACAAATGAATATAAGACAGGTTAGGAGGAAAAGGATCAAAGATTTAATGATATATATATGGAAAATATCCACAGTTTAAATTCTAAAGTAAATTGACAGAAGAGGGATATATATCCTGTGTTTAAGGACCTGAGGCATCAAAGAGAGAGAAAGGGGAAAATTTCACATGACAATAAAGAGGTGACCTCATCAGGTCATGTTCCTGATAACCTACATGCCGAAACACACCTTCTTCTGGACCTTAAGATGGGGAATCAGTGATTGCTTCTTTGATTAGGAAAGGGCAAAGACCAAGACAAGAATAAAACTTGTCCTAGCCTCTGGGCCTTCACTGCTTTTAATATCTGCATTCTTTTTTTTTTTTTTTAAAGATTTAATTTTTATTCATACAATAGCTGGGGTATAAGCCAGAGGCGCAGAAGGGTGAGAGGATTTACCACAGACAGAGTGGGGAGCAGAACAGGCAGACGGACTGAAAGCACTGCTGAGGGGAGCAGCGGGCATGACAGGAGAGGTCTGTTACACCATGTGGGAATCTCCCTGGCTGGCTGGGAATCAAACCCGAGCTGCAGTGGCTGTGGACAGCTTCACAGCACTGCGCTCAACCCTCTGCACCACCTGGAGGCCAATATCTGCATCCTTCAAGTATTGGTAATGACTTCCCTAGGCTCAGGACTGCCTGGAAGAGACCTACTCTGGGCATACTGAAAAGTCTATCTGACCCATTTAGGGAAACCAATCCCCCATGGTCTTTCATTTTTTTCCTTAACATATGACATCAAACTTTCTGTAATACATGTACTTTATATTTTACATGATTTTGACTTGCTAAGTTTATAAATTTTCAAATACTATTTTCAGCTGTCTAGAACAATCCATAGTTGATAAAGTTATTTCTAAATTGAAAACACTAGTAAAAATATGGCTAGGACACTGAATAAGCAGTACCATTTGGAGAGCAAGAATAAAACCATTCTTCATGCAACTGAAATTAGAGAAAGAAGACATGAAAATAATATCACTGTAAAAAACAAGAAGTTAAAATTCCATTTTATCTGTAAATGTATTAGGTCATTTGAAAAGAAATATCATGGATGCTGGTCCTGGTTATCATAAACTATTCTCCTATATCTGGACTATCAACTTTACCATTTATGCTTTAATGAATGAAACTTGGTAGACTTGCAAATAATAACTAAACTATTAATGATAAAAACATTCCTTTAAAAATTACAGGTTCTTTAATAGTTGTTTTATTTACTATATCATGTATTTACAAGATAATATCTTGATGGGCTAATATTCCTTCTAAAGTTTAAGTCTATTGAAACATTTTTTAATTTGTGACTTTTATCTAGATAAAGTTGTAAACATTTAAGTTATAAAAATTCAAGAAAAATCAATTAAAATCATTTCTGAGACTATAACAAATTATTGATTAGACTAAAATAGTTCATAATTCAATTTACTAAAAATTAATGCATTTTTGAGAATAGCATAAAAACTCCCATTGATATTTTTTCTTACAGTTGTTTTTTAACATGATCACAAATATTCTTATTGATTTTTATAAGAGAAGAAATGAAAATTTCAACACAGTAACTGAACCGATATTCAATTCATTAAATATAAATACTTTTATCTTTACAGTATCTGGAAATAACCTGGAAAAAAATCCCTAAAATTATTTTCTTTGGGTATTTTGGATAGCTTTGAAAAATCTTATTTATAAAAGCTATAACTTTTAAAAATAGTGCTCTATTTTAAATATTATATTCAAGAATAGTAAAATCTCAATCACTGAAAAAATATATCCTATGCAGCTAATACAAATACTAAAATGCACCTATTTTTTGTAAATTATATGACTTCACTGATTTAGATTATTCTTTGCTAATATTTGGACTGAGAATCAAAGGTTAATTAAAACATTTTCAAGTACTTATAAAAGATGTTACTATATCTTAATTAGACACATAATTTGTAAAATGCTATAAAATAATAAAACAAAATGTAAATGGAATTATCTTTTAGGCCACAAGTGTTATACTTTAAATAATAGCTTTATATTTTCCTGTGATTAAAGGACAGAGTTTATATTTACATGTTCTTTATTAGTAGAGTTAGATAACCTTTATTTTTACAATGTGAACTTTTTGGTTGCCGTGTAATTTCTTGCTTAAATAATTATAAGCAGTTAGTTTAAAATGTTACATATCATTAATTTCAATAATCATTTTACTAACTTGAAAAAGCATGCAACAGCTAAATAAAAGGTCTGTGTTCATGATGCACTCTCCACAGTACAAAATTTGTAATTTACTGGTTATTTAAACAGAAATACTATATAACTGTTTAATTACGGATAAAGGATACAATGTAGTTTCATGCTTACTGCATTGAATCATCAAGTCATTATCTTCTCTTTGCCATAAACAGACAGCCTACCTTTTTGTCAGCATGCTATTTCATTTATTTCACAGAGAAACCCAGTTTCACAATAATTGACTTGTCAGAAGCTCTAATTTATGAGGCTGAGCTCTGTAAGATTTCTCTATATTGGCCTCAACCTGCACACAAGCAGGGTTGAATATTTACAATGCTGTTAACAGGTGCTGAGTTGTTTAATGATTCTAATAGCCAGAAGCGTACTGAGAAAGCCAGCGGGATCACAATTACAGGCTGTTTGAACACAACAATTACTAGTCCCCTGGGAGGTGTGAAAGTCAAAGGCAGTTTGATACTGACAGCATCTAGCACATGGGCTAGACAAGCTAACTTCTATTAGCAGTCCATTGGGAAAAAGTCATAACAAACCTTTCCCTATCATAAAAATTTACAAAGTTCATTAAATTTAAACAATCAAAAAGTAAAACAACTTTAAAAATTATCTTATCAAAGGATGAACAAGAATACTATACATAAAGCCTCACATTATGTTTTTTTGCAACCTTTATAAAGATGAAATTTCACCAGTTGTGAATAAAGAAACTTGACTATAGTGTAAAACACAGATAAAGTTACACCAGTTTGGATTTAATGTGAATAGAGGCAACCATTTCCGGTTTGGTTTATGTAAACCTGGCCAGAGATCTTGCTGGGAGAATTTTCATCAGTATTGAAATGCTGCTGCTATAACTGTCAGTACTGGGAAGTCATTTGTTATAGCACCACTTTTTTTTATGTTCAGATTATGCAGCAGTAATAATGACACAAATAATGGAAGTGGTTACAGGGACAGCTGAAACTACCACAACATTTTTTGCTCCAGAAATATTTAAAAGCTTTCTCAGGGGAAAACAGAGAGTAGAATTGAACATACAAATTGAATCCAGAACTTAATTTGGAATATATTATATTTCATGTTGCACCAGTACATATGTCTACATACATTTAAACTACTGTATATATATGTGCGCCTGAATGTATTTATATACATAAATTTTTATCTTTGCATATATACACACGTATTTG